TATGTATGTATATATGTGTATATATGTATGTATGTATATATGTGTATATATGTATGTATGTATATATGTGTATATATGTATGTATGTATATATGTATGTATATATGTATGTATGTATGTATATATATATGTATGTATATATGTGTATATATATGTATATATATATGTATGTATGTATATATGTGTATGTATATATATATGTGTGTGTATATATGTGTGTGTATATGTGTATATATGTATGTATATATGTATATATATATGTATATATGTATATATGTGTATATAGAGAGTCTAGCAAGCATCATATTAGCTGATATTCTCAGGACTGAAACATCTGTTGGTCGTTTATTGATCAGCAGAATACTCGTGATGTGGAACCAAAGTTCAAGTTCTGTACTTTTAGCCGTACGCCGTTAGCAACATGTGCTAATGTTAGCCCAACAAACTGATTGGCTGTGAGTCGGTCACATGACGGAGAGAGTAAATATAAAGTAGGAGCTAGAAGACGTCTGGAAACATGAAAACACACATTCAGCAGCAGATGTGTCCATCACCACCATGAAAAAACACAAAAAGATATTTTGTATTTTTAGTTTCATATCGGTTTTATAATCTGTTGTGACCTATGGCCTTCTGGGAAAATGTTAGTTCAGTGTTCCTAAAATGTTAAAAATGTTCCTTATTTTATAGTGAAAATAGTTTGCCAAAGTTTCCAGAGGACGAAATGTTCCTTTAGTCTCCAGCAGGTGGACAGTTTTCATCTGTGACACTTTAACACAAAACAAACGGATCCTGATGCTTTTGTTTTCCCACTGACCGAACCGGGACTTACTACTAACTACCGTTACAGCCCTGTGACATGTGACATACCACGTGACACCTGACATACCATGTGACACTCAACATGTCATGTGACACCTGACATACCATGTGACATGTCATGTGACATGAGACGTACCAGCAGACATGTGACATGTCATGTGACATGAGACGTACCATGTGACACTCAACATGTCATGTGACACATGAGGTACCACGTGACTGAGCAAGTTGTCCGCTTTGAACGTTCTCTCTCTGTGTTCTGTCTGCAGCTGGGAGAACCACCACCAACGAAGAACTAGAGGACATGTTGGAGAGTGGCAAGCTGGCCATCTTCACCGATGATGTAAGCACCGCACCTGAGCCTCACTTTTACCTGAGCCATTCTGCTTCCCTCTATGATTAATTACCTGGGTTGCAGAATCGCCACGAGGTGCGCTGAGACATCAAGTGAACACGGCCGTTGTCACATGGCATGTAACAATAGGAGGATGCACTAGAGAGAGCTCTTATTTTGATGGAGTCACTTCACAATTATCATTTGCTCTTTTCAAAGTAAAAGCTCAAATACGTGCATGCAACTCTGCCTCTGGCCCAAGCTGAGACCGACGGTTGCGGTCGGTTCACGTGACTTAACACCGAGCTGAAAATCAAAACGTTTGACACTGAGCTCCTCTGGTTGAAACCACACCCACCTGTGATATCACAGAGTCCCAACCAGTGGAGGTCAGAAACACGGTTTACAGCTGGCGTTAAGTCACTCTGTAAGCAGGTAAGTAAGCCAGACGACACCACACCACTGGAGCTCAAAGGTCCTCACCACCAAATGAACTTTCAGTTAGAAGCAAGAGAAACTGATTTACACTTAAAGAAAGTACCTGTTTGGTTTTATTTTGAAGATCCCAATGTCACCCTCTCCTTCAAAGTAAAAGTTGCATATTTGCAGGAACCCCAGCCACAAACAAGAAAGCTCAGATGACTTGGAGCATCACATGACCTCATGCTGTGTTTCTAATTTTAAATACAGGAGAGACAACTGTGATCATAACTACAGCATGAAGGACATCCCCTCAAAATTATGATCATATGTATTTCTATGTATCATCTCATTTTAAAAATATTTATGGCTAAAACACTGGAAACACAAACCGATTTCTGAAATCCTTTCTGAATCTGGTCATTGACAGACAAGAGAAGAGACGAAATACGTTCTCATGTATTCTTTGTTCTTCCATCACTTCTTCTTCTTTGAAGCTGCCATTGATGAAACTCACAACTTCCTGCAAAGATGTTTCACAATAAAAGTCTTAGAAGTGTATTGTAGAAATAGAATAGACATAGAAGGGACATTCCCATTCAAGTCAACGTAGCAGGATGGTCAGAGTGATGGACATTTTTATGTGTACCGTTGCCGTAGCAACTGTTACAGCGGGCTAACTTCTGCATAAACTGAACCGACTTACGGCGGTTTACAGAAACGACTGAAACGATCAGACGAGTAATGTTACGAAGCGAAGACAGCAACAGAAAGCACGTTGCTATCACCAGATGAGTGACTTTGTTTTCTGTAACCAGCGTAGCATTAAAGCACGGTTAAAGTTGACCGGCTAACTACGGGACAGCTGGCTTTTTACCTTTTTGACTGTCTATAAGAAGTGGACGTAGACACCGTGACATCTCTCGTTGGTTTTTGGACGTTTTAAAGCATCAAGTTCGGCAATTTCGCCGTCGCCATCTTGGATTACGTGCGTCACCATCTTGTTTTTTTTACAACCAGTGAACAGGAAGTGACCATATCTGGACTGAGGAGGAGTGACGTAGAGACGCCGTATACGTCTCTGGTAGAGACCTGTCAATCACCGTGTAGCCCCGCCCTAAAGCATCCCCTGCTTTATGGTCTGTGTGACTCTAAATGGACCATAATGTACTAAATGAACATCATGCTGTATTGAAGAAGACTTGAAACTAGAGATTGAGACCATAAACTCATGTTTACAATGTTTACTGAGGTAATAAATCAAGAGAGAAGTAGAGTCATTTTCTCATAGACTTCTATACAACCAGAGGAGTCGCCCCCTGGTGGTCACTAGAGAGAATGCAGCTTTAACACATGAAGCTTTGAAGAACTTTAAAGAACTGGAGGTTGTCTCTTGCTTGTTAGCTAGCTTGCTAATTCCACCATGCTTTAATGCTACACTGGTTACAGGAATTGAGCCCAACAGTTGACCGGTGGACGCCGGGTCCAATGGTCCCTTCATCTCCTTGAAGAAGGACAAGTTAGCGTTATGTAGCTAACTAGCCTGCTAACAGTCTCCAGAGCTCCAACTAACAACAATATGTATATTTTGTATTTTTTTACCGTACTAGTCAAATGACCACGGACAGCTTCTATTATTCTATTTCTATGGAATGTAATCGAAAAAACAGCAAAGAAGCAATTACAAATAAAAAATATTTTTTGTTGAGACACTCAGAACAACACATCGGTGAGTATAACAAGCAACTGACATCCCTTTAAAGTTTAAATAAACTAAGCTATTTTTAATCCATTCTACTTTTTGGTTGTACATCATATATTTTTCAATGTATTTCCTTTTAATCTCTGTATTGGTTTGAGATGCTTTTTATTTAAAACCAATCAGAGTGAAATAATGTCTGTGTTAAAAGACGTCCTCTCCTGCAGATCAAAATGGACTCTCAGATGACCAAGCAGGCTCTGAACGAGATCGAGACCCGACACACCGAGATCATCAAGCTGGAAAACAGCATCCGCGAGCTGCACGACATGTTCGTGGACATGGCCATGCTGGTGGAGAGCCAGGTGAGTGTGACGGCGACCAGAGGTCAGAGGTCGATTGTGGGCGTTGCGTGTTTAAACTGAAACACTATGTATATGTGTGTGTGTGTTTCAGGGAGAGATGATTGACAGAATTGAGTACAACGTGGAGCACTCCGTGGACTACGTGGAGCGAGCCGTATCTGACACCAAGAAGGCCGTCAAATACCAGAGCCAGGCCCGCAAGGTAACGTGTTCCTCAGGAAACCGGCTCTAAAGCAGTGTTCACACCAAACGTGGCGCGAATTACCCGAAATACGCAGATTCGCCTGAGTTGAAATCATCGCCCTATCAGCGTTGAGATGCTCCTCCTTCATCACTGACATTGTTGAATCAGGAAACAAATACTGTATCCGTCTGTGTTCAGAGCGCTACGACACCTCATATCAATAGAGACCAAACTATGTGTATAAATGAGTATAAACCATATGGTACAATGAAAAAGACGCTGCTGTATTTACGACTAGATGACGTCATGTTGAGTGTTGATGGAGCTGCTACAATGTTAGCTTAGCATAGCACCGATGGAACCAGACTCCATTCAGAAAACAAACATTTTAAAAGTTGTTTACTTGTCGTCTTGAGGAGAGAACTAACAAAACATGAATTCAGACTTTTTACTAATCTGCATAATTATGTAGATATTTCTGCATCATTTTTTTCAGTTTATTGCAATTAAATCACAGCAAAATGTGTTTATTTAGTGTTCATACAGCTGTAGTAAACAGCCAACGTGTGTCTTGTTAGATACAGTGAATACACCTTTAGATGATGTTATGAACCAGACAAAAAGGCGTTTAGTTTCGAAAATTCGCGCTGCGTTTGCTGTGAACGCACCTTCAGAAGCATCCCACATAGAGAACCAACCAACCTGTGTGTCTACTGCCCCCCCCCCTGCAGAAGAAGATCATGATCATCATCTGCTGCGTCATCCTGGGCGTGGTCCTGGCGTCAACCATCGGCGGCACGCTGGGCTTGTAGAGACGCTCCGTGATGACCGACACCGACCGACCGTCCGACCGCCAGCATAGAAAAGAAAACGCAGACGACGACAACAACACAAAAAACTTGAAACACAAATGCAAGACAGATAAACCAATCAGCTAGGAAGAGATAACAATCCAATCACAGATAGAGGAAACAGCGTGGGGTTGGGTGGGGTTCAAAAAACAAAGACAAAAAAAACCACAATAAAAAACGCCATCACATTATAGCTGACCTAAATACATAACGTATAGAAAAAGAAGGAATAAACCTACTATTTATTACAGATGTACATGTAAATGTATTGAACATATGAAGCAACACATGGGTTAGCTGCCTGTAAAAAAATATGATGACCTATAATATGACATTTACTTGTTTGTTTGTTTTGCCTTTTTTTTCTTGTTTTTTAACAGTTGCTTTTAGTTTTTTTGGGAGTCTCTCCGAGGACAGTGATGGTGACGGCTGCTGGGTGAGAGTTCTACGGGACGAGCGTTCCAAGAGCCAGAACCTTTTATTTGTTCCTTACACCTGTGGAACCGAGTGCATTCTAGAACATCGCAGAACACGTTCTCTGTGAATGAGCTCGCCGTTCCGCTCAAGTGTTGTCCTTCTAGAGGACATTGAACTCCTGACAGAGAGAAAGAAATCCTATCGGCTCTGGAGCTCTGAACGGAATGCTGTCAGTGATGCCGGAACGTTCTGGAATGCCGGAACGTTCTGGAATGCCGTCCCGCAGGACAAGCACCCCGCTGTCTTTGGTAGAACCAACTGTGGTCCCCTCATTTCTGGGAGGGAGGGACCGTCCTCTTTAGACCACCTCTCATTGGTTGCTCACTCCTGTCATTCACCTTCAGTCAGCCTATTAAATTAGCTCAGACTGGCAAAGCCCGACCTGCCACGCAGCATTTATAAAAAACGACAAGGGAAGAAAGAGCAGTGACACGCTGCCCACTTTGAGAAAACACAATGTGTGTGTGGGTGTGTGTGTGTGTGTGGGAGGGATGGTGGGGGGTGTCATTGCAGCGTGGCAGGTTTCCACGACAACAGCCTCCCCTTCTTGTCACATCTATCCAACCAAAGAGCGGGGGGGAGGGCCTCTACTTTACCTGCTGAATTTGATTTGAAAACGTGACATTTGACTGACAGGTGAACGGTGGGAAGGAAAGAAAGGGGGGAGGAGGCGGGGTTGAAGGAGCTGGGAGGAGGCGGACAGTCAATCTATGCAGTTTAGATGAGAGGAAGACGACTTGTCCCGCCTCCATCACCCAATGAGGATCGTGGGGTCACACTGATAAAGGTCACACCTGTTCTTAAGGACGATTCTTAAAAAATGAAGAGAACACATTAAAAAGTAAAGAAGAAGAAAAACTCAAACATAACTTTATAAAAACGAACAAACAAGCTAAGAGATGGACAGAAATCGTATAAACCCCCTGATGCTGGCGTGCCCTGGTTACCTGAGTGTCGTGGTAAAAAACATGTTTTTTTAAGTTTGTTGCTTCGTTGTTCTGTGGTGCTGCTGTTCTTTAGTGCGTGCGTGACGTGTCCCGTGACGTATCGGCCTGACATCCTTTAGCTGGTTTCACTGTTTAGTCCGTATTGGTTTTGAAGTATCCGCCTGGTTTTCCTCCCTGCATCCCTTCCGCCCCCGAGTGTCTGTTTTTTGGGGGATTGTGACACGTGATTCACAACCTGTTTTTAAGTGAGTTGCACAGGTGCTACTGAACAGGAGAGGCTTCCTATTGGTGGATTTTAACCCTCCATGGAAGGTGGTACATGTGACACACACACACGTTCACATTACATTCACGATACGTTGCATGAACACCTCGTATACATTGAACGTCTCACACAGACATACTGGAAACCCCCCCGACACACACACACACACACACACACACACTTGCCCTGCATTACATATCACACCAGTGCTAGACTGGGTCGCTTAGCATGCTATAGCGTTAGCTCGTGTTACATGTAGATCGTGTAGAAGCTGCTTCTTGGAGATTGATCTCAAGTTTTCTGGTCTTTTTTTAAATATTAAAGACACTTTCCGTGTGTCTGGACCAGTGTTGGGGAAAGAATGAAGCTTAAGAAATACATTCGTGACATTAGTTTTTATTCGGTTACTCGTCTTTTCCAGAGTGTTTCTTTGCAAATTTAATCTGAAAGTTTTTGGAAAAGGTTTAGTCTGTCAAACTAGCTAAATTCCTGTTGGCCTCTTTCACAAATATGTAGCAAATAGCAAAAATCTATCTTTCAAAATGTATTTACTGTATATCCGATTGCGTTAGCATTAGCTGTTAGCTGTGTGTCTGCACAGGAAGACAAGGACTTCACTCTGCTTCTTTTTTCTTTTACACCAATGAAGCTTTGATAGAAACTAATCATTTGAAGTCAGCTAATCTGAATTTAACGTGTTAAACTTCAACACTGCTCCAGATCGTGGGCAACACACACGTGTGCGTTACGTTCGTCGCACTAGCATGTTTTGTTTCATTAATGTGGTTTTCCGTGTTGAGAAGTAACATCAAATGTGCGTGTTGCCTTCCAGAACTAGGACACACGGGGGTGTGTGTGTGTTGAAAATGACTACACAGTATTGCGACTTTTATTTCGTGGGGGTTTAAGGAGGGAGCCTACGTCTGCCCTCTGTTGAGGCCCCACGCCGGACCGTCCTTTCCACGTCACAATCACTGTCAGGGTCAACAAACACCACCTTAAACTCCACTACACTCTGTGTCAAAGCAATAAAGTCAGTTTGTTATCGCTAAGTTTTATTTGACAGAAAAAAGTGTTGGCTAGCTAGCTAAACCGTGTCTAGACTGAACCCGACGTAAGAGTTGCACAGTGGACGGAGTCGTTTCATACGATATTCACGTGAAACTCTTTTATTGAAGCGTCGACTACCAAGTTACAAAATATATCTGCTTCTTTACGCTCCACTTTACAACTCTTGTTGCTCTGGGAGGCTTCGTTTTGGCCCAGAAGCTAACGTTGTTAGCGTACATTCTGTCCAACGACGCGAGGCAACGTTAGCTTCCTCGGCTAACGGTACTTTCCAGGCTGCCATGGCGACGTGTCGACACGAGGAAGCGACCGCTGCTTTGTTTGAATATGTGTGTGTGCATGTTTTCTTGGGAGTCGTAGTAGTTGGCACCGTTAGTCGTAGATGTCTGTGATGCTGTATTAGTCGCTAGATGAAATAAAAGAACAAGGACTTTTTTAGCTCCAGGTTTGGAGAAGAGTGGAGGTGGGAGTTTGTTTTATTTTTATTCTTTTGACTTCCCAAAACTTAACTTCTGTGTTCACCAAAGCTTAGCAAACACCCCCTAAACCCCTCCAAGCAGCAAAATCCAATAGATGTGTGTTTAAATAAATCGTCAGTAGATTTAGAATAATTTAGCACTTTTTTCTCTGCTGTTGTGTTGTCAACGTTCATGGCTTCATTCTGTCTTTCTGAGTGTTTTCTAGACTGTATAGTTCAGACACTGAGTCTAAAAGGGATTAAATATCAAATCATGTTTGCACCAGGTGTCTTTGGACTCACTTTGGACTCACAGTGCTTCGTTCATCACCTGATAGTTACATCACAACGTTAGCCACGTGATATTTAGTTCAGTTTGTCGATGGTTGTCAACATGACGTCACGGTCGTCACGGCAGTGTTTTGCGATGGTTCGGCGATGTGTGAGGAATGCCGCCGTAGCACCAGCCAGCTTGTTGACCCTGATGTTTCTTTGCTGTGTGTTTGTGTTGTTATTTCTGTAACGTTCCATCGGGCCTCGCCTCCATTTTCCCACGGGAAAGAAAACACGGACAAACATCCCAAAACCACGTTAAGGTTTTATTAAACAACATCTGTGAAGTTTGTCCGAGTCTTCAGTCTCCTTGTCCTTTTGTCTTCCCTCTTCCTGTTTGTGTTGTTTGGTTGTACAAAATAAAAAAGACCACGTTGAGGATCGGGCGTCTGCGCCTTCCCTTCCCCGGAAGACCCCGCCAATCCCGTGTGTGTAATAATGATAATAATAATCATAAAAAAAGGCATGCAAAAGCGTTGTGGAGTTTGCATGATGGTATTTTTTTGTACCCCACCCCCGACCTGCCCTCCATGTCGTGCACTTTACCGCTCATTGGACCTGTCGTTGGTTAGCGAACTACTACTTTCTGAATTGATTTTAAATCTAAAACGTGAAACACGTGCTGGCGTCACCTGTCAACACGTGTTTTATTTGTAACCTTGTTAGAACTGAACTTTTAAAGGTGTTTTGTTAAAGGAGCAGGTTGAGGTGAACTTGTTGAAAAGCGTTGACTTCAGCCATTCTGCTTCTCCCCGTCATCGTCCCCCCCCCCCACGGACGTTACACACCTCCGTTACTAACTGACCTCTGTGCTGTTGCATTAGTGTTGTGTTTCTTTGGGACTTTGTCCCACAGGTCGATGAAGCGTCGACCTGTGGGCGGACTTCCACCTGGCCTAGTGTGTGTGCAGCATGCCTCCCTTCCTCTTCAGTGAAACAAGATTGGTGCATAAATGTGCGAATGTGTGTGTTGAGTTTGTTTAGACGTGCGAAGCATCCGATCGCAGGTCCACGGAGTTTGCAGCCGTTTGATGAATTCCACTTTGGGTTTGTTTCATTTTTTTTTAAATTGTTGACAGATGGGACGAGATAAGAGATCCGACATATTTATAGGACGCCATCATCACTGTTATTATTATCTTATTAAAATTCAAACCAAAGCGTTTTTTGCCCCCCCCCCCTTCAAAAATATTTGCCGCTATTATCAAAGAGCACAACGCGAGTCAAGTTTACACTGAGATGTTCGTCACAAATGGTAAAAATATATAATAAAAAAATTTCAAATGCTTCCGTAATGCTACCCCCCCCCCCCCGCTAGCCAATAATCTCACACCACAACAATGATGTCTGCCTCCACACACCCTTTTTTCCTTTTCACCCGTAGATGTTAGTTTGTGGTCTGATTAGTGTAAAATAAATATGACACATAATCACCCGTTATAAAATATTAGCTTCTCCTCCACTCGAGGCATAAACGGAGACTATGGTGGTGCTTTCTTATTCTATTATGAATTGCCGTTATTTTGGTGTAATTTTCTGTACAGCTTGTTTATCAGTCTCTACGTTCACACTACGGGATCGATGGTAACCTGCAGGTTTTGAGGTTTTGCTAGCTAGCTAGCATCTAATCTTCTCTAGTTTGTGTTTAGCCATGCAAATCGGAATAATTTTAAGGTAAATTACAATGAAGCAGCTAACAACAATGCTTTGATGTAATTCAAATCAGCGTTAACCTGTTTGTCTGCGGTGAGGAGAACTGCATCACCTATAGTTTACAAATAATGTATAATAATTCATGATAAAATACAATATATTTCTGTTGTGCAGGTGAAGTAGAGATAAAAAATCTTTTACTGAGACGGGGAAAGAAACTGGGGGCTAACAAACATCAGCTAGTGTCCGGTGCTGTTTAGCTAGCTAGCTAGACAGCTAGCAAAACTAGCAGCTAGACAACTAGCTAGCTAACTAGCCGCTAGACAACTAGCAAGCTAACTAGCTTCCATAAAACCTCCAGTGAGCATTTTCCTGTGTGTGAGACAGGACTGCAGCCATGTAAACTGAAGTCACATATATAGACAAGAATATATATATATATATATATATATATATATATATATATATATATAAATCTTACATCAACATACTGCATTTCTATAATTGTGTGTGTGGCTGTGTAGCCACGACCGCTTCTATTGGCTGTGTACAGTTTTTGCGAGAGCGGGATGCAGGAAGCAGGAAAAATCATCCAGAGACGAGTTTTGGTTGCGACGCCAAGACTCCAAAGATTGACTTGCCGTTAGCCGTTAGCCTGTGTGTGGAAGGTAACTGGCTGTATTGTTTCACACGTGTACTGGAAAAATTACTTTCTGTAGTTTGAGGTCATCTCAACATCAATATGCTCTGCAGTTATTTCTGCAAAATAAACTTTTTTTTAGTTTGAATCAACGCACACAAAGTTGAAGTTAGTCGTGCTTTTTATTTATTTGTATTTGTTAGCTTTTGTTCCTCTGTTTGTCGGACGATTTAAACTCTTCTCCTCGATGATTTTTTTTTGTCTTCCTGAAAGAACATTTTCAAAAACCAAAACCTTTTCAGAAGCTCTGCTCTGGATGACGATGACGAAATGGAAAACGTTTGTTTGTTTATTTGTTTGTTGTTTGCTTCGATCGGCTCTCGTCAGCAGGAGCAGCTCGATATTAATTGTTGTTTCTGATGATGATTTGTTTTGACACTCCAGCCATCCGTCAAACGAGACAGTATTCGGGTTTTGAATCAGTGTTTTCTTCCCTTTGTGGGGAAGGTGGGAGGAGTCAGGGGAGGGTCAAGCAGGTAGACCACGCCCACATGGTCTCCTGCCATAGCAAGTAGGAAAGACACTTAAATAACATTGTTATTATCATCATTATTATTATTATTACCATAAAATGACAAATAAAAATGCAGTAACGAACGGCTTCACACAAAGTGATCACACATTAAAAACTTTTAAAAAAGGACGATTCTATAATAGCAATGATTTAAAGACGTATAAAAAGGAGTTATGTTGTCATAAATAATAGTAGTAATATTGAATATTGAATGCTCGCAATTTTGTCAAACTGAAACTGGAATCTTTGTGTTATGTAATTATTGTAAATAACTTCAAAGAGAGAAAAAATGACTTGCATGTCTATGTATAAATCTACTGAGATATCTATTCCCGTCAAAGTTGACAAGTACTTCGATCTCTGTCCTTTTTTTTGACGCTTTTGCTTTCCCCAGTCCCAGAGGCTCCGCCCACTGGCTCCTCTGATGAAAGTGCTTCCCTCCATATTAGAAGAAGAGTTACTCGAACCCTCTCTCTCTCTCTCTCTCTCTCTGTCTGTCTGACTCGGTGTCTCTCGAC